GTCCTGAAGCTCTTCCCGCACTCCCCGCACCCGTAGGGTTTCTCCCCGGTGTGGCTCCTCTGGTGGGCGCTCAGGCCCGAGCTCTGCGTGAAGCTCTTCCCGCACTGGTCACACTTGTAGGGCTGTTCCCCGGTGTGGCTCCTCTGGTGGACCTTCAGCTGGCACTTCCAACCGAAGCTCTTCCCGCACTCCCCACAGCCGAAGGGCTTCTCCCCGGTGTGGGTGCGCCGGTGGTTGACGAGGACGGAGTTGGCCCTGAAGCCCTTCCCGCAGTCGGGGCAGCGGAACGGTTTCTCGTCCGTGTGCGAGCGCTGGTGCCTGAGGAGGCCAGGCCTGGTCTGAAACCTCTTCTGGCACTGCTCGCACTCGTAGGGCCTCTCCCCGCTGTGGATCCTGCGGTGGGCGTTGAGCGAGGAGCTCGTCCTGAAGCTCTTCCCGCACTCCCCGCACCCGTAGGGCCTCTCCCCGGTGTGGATCCTCCGGTGGATCCTGTGGTGGGACCTCAGCGTGAAGCTCTTCCCGCACTGCCCGCACTCGTAGGGCCGTTCCCCGGTGTGGCTCCTCCGGTGCTCCATCATGCAGGAGCTCGTCCTGAAGCTCTTCCCACACTGGGGACACTTGTAGGGCCTCTCCCCGGTGTGGCTCCTCCAGTGGTAGAGCAGGTGGGAGCTCCTCATGAAGGTCTTCCCGCACTGCCCGCACTTGTAGGGCCGTTCCCCGGTGTGGATCCTCCGGTGTCTCACCAGCTCGGAGCCCAAAATGAAGCTCTTCCCGCACTGCCCACACTTGTAGGGCCTCTCCCCGCTGTGGATTTTGCTGTGGTAGAGCAGGGAGGATTTGCACGTGAAGCTCTTCCCGCATTCCGAGCACCTCTGGGGCTTCTTCCCATGCTGGGGCCGCTTGCGGGGCCCCGGCTCCGAGCTCCGGCCGCCTCCCGGTACCGGGCTGGGTTTTTCCCCCGGGGATCCGCGCTGACGTGCCGCGTGTGTCTTCTGGTGGGCGACCAGGTGGCAGCTCCGTCGGAAGCTCTTCCCGCACTGCCCGCAGTCGTAGGGCCGCTCTCCCGTGTGGATGAAGTGGTGGGAGATCAGGCTGCACCTCGTCCTGAAGCTCTTCCCACACCGGGGACACCCGTAGGGCTTCTCCCCGGTGTGGATGAGCCGGTGGGTGGTCAGGGTGGCGTTGGCCCTGAAGCCCTTCCCGCAGTCGGGGCAGCGGAACGGTTTCTCGTCCGTGTGCGAGCGCTGGTGCTTGAGAAGCTCCGAGCTGCTCCGAAACCTCTTCTGGCACTGGGGACACCCGTAGGGTTTCTCCCCGGTGTGGATCCTGTGGTGGATG